TATATATATATATATATAATAAAATAAGGACTCTCTCAATCTTCAAAATTCAAAACGTCAAAAGTTCGTGAAAACAAACTTGGCAACATTTTGAGACATTGTGTAACGGCAAGATTACCGTGTATCGCGAAGCAGGGTACCAAAATATATTCGGTAATTCGTCTTTGGTTAAAACATGATTTATGACCCTTGACGCGTGCGGTAATGATGCCTCTAGAAGGCTATCGCGTTAAGATAAAAGTTTCACCGATGGCTTTGCATAGACGACAGAAGGTGGAACGGCCGGGTGTTATGTAATTCCATTGTAAATGTAGAACATACCCCGGGTACTGAAATAGAAACGCATTACGGTGTCGTCTGTGAAAGTTCAACGAAAGTTTTAGATATAATCGATTCTTTCGACGCGAGTGGAAGACGCCGACGTGTGAAATTGACACGAGACGATACATCCAGAAAATTTAGCAACACGCGTGACTAATTAACGAACACGCGTATACATATTAAATTAGACGATTATGATAGAAATTGCTGAATAATTTTTCTATCATTAATTATCCAGCATCTCTTATGTAACCATGAAAATCCTATATACATACGTGTCATGGATTCTCGAATTGTAAATGAAGACCTAACAGTGTCGAATGCTAATATCTTTCAAAGGAATGACAATATCACAATCGTAATATCATTTATATTATTATAATAATAATCAGCTCTTATAATAATATAAACGATATTACGATTATGATAGAAATTAATTTTTTACTTGTTTTATATTACAAAAATTAATTTGTATTATTTCTCAATAATAATCAGCTCTTAAGAAATAATATAAATTAATTTTTGTAATATAAAACAAGCGAAAAATTATTTATCATATTATCTATTAAATTAATCTATCATTAATTATCTATCATCGCTTATGTAACATGAAGTTCCTATATACATACGTGTCATGGATTCTCGAATTGTAAATGAAGACCTAACAGTGTCAAATGCTAATATCTTTCAAAGGAATGATAATATTACATTTGTAGTATCATTTATATAATAATAATAATAATCAGCTCCCATAATAATATAAATATTACGATTGCCATAGTTGTGGAGGTTAAAAATTGAATAAAAATTAATTTGTTATTTCTTAGGAGCTGATTATTATTATTATATAATACAAAAATAATAAATAATAAAATAATAATTTCAGCTCAGGTGACCCAGAGAAATTTAATTCCATCGTAGTATCATTTATATTATAATAATAATAATCAGCTCTCATAATAGTATAAATGATATTACGATTGCCATAGTTGTCGAGATTAAAAATTTAATAGAAATTAATTTGTTACTTGTTTTATATTACAAAAATTAATTTCTGTTATTTCTTAAGAGCTGATTATTATTAAGAAATAATACAAATTAATTTTCGCAATATAAAACAAGTAAAAAATTAATATCTATTATATTTTTAACCTCGACAACTATGGCAATCGTAATATCATTTATATTATTATAAAAGCTGATTATTGTTAGGATAATATAAATGACATTACGATGGAATTAAATTTCCTAAGTCACCTGAGCTCAAAATTGATCACTCGTCGAGGCTAAAAATTTAATAGAAATTAATTTTTGTAATATAAAACAAGTAAAAACTGAATTTCCATTAAATCTTTAATCTCGAGGACTGTGGTAAATTTCGAACTCAGGTGACCCAGAGAAATTTAATTCGATGCATAAAATAATCACGAGGGTACGGTATCATGACTCCTCACCCAGGAGGAACTGCAACAAAAGGTAAACGGGTCCACATTATCCACGCGACAATCGTCTTTGAATAAATTACTCGAGGACGTCGTTTATGCCTGCGGTATCGCGATTGATTAACGATGTCAGGCCGGGTCTACATCGGGCACGTGCTTAAAACGTTGTACTACGTCCCGGCGAAACTTTCTATCGTAAATCAGCGCGTACCTTAGAGAGCACCGATCAAACGAGAATGGATCAAGTTCCACGAAGAAGTTACTCCTTCGGCTCGAGCGGATGCATTTGTATTTTGTATTTACGGTCGCAGTGTCGCGGGATTATTTGTACGGAACGAGCCGGCTGATATGAATAATTGGAGCGGAATCGTAAATAATGACAGCGGAGTGTCAACAGAGAGGAGAAGGTAAGCCGAAGTTCGCGTGCATTTGCAGTGTAACTCTGTAGTCGCAGGCTGCACACGGAGCTGACCTGTCCTGACCTACCCTTTCCTAAAGCGACTGTAAACTAGCCTTAATCCAATCTGCGTTTATATTTGATCCGGCCAACAGTTTCGCCCGGGCAAATTCTAGGGCCAAAGAATAAATAGCGCTTTGATATAAAGTTACGATTAAAGTTAACGTTGACAGTTCGACGAGCTTGTTTCGCCGGAAGAGGAACAAATTGTTGCTCCTATGAGTCGTCGAATTTTCCCACTATCGATATTCCTCGCATTCGCCATGACCAACTACATATTCTCCAATATTTCTCCAATTTTCTGTCAAAGCGTTTAATCAATGGTTAACTTCCTACGTTAAAAACGAATTTTCTTTGCTAGATTTCTGAACTTTTGAAATGTTATATTTCGATAAACCAGAGCGAATAAAACGAGTGAATTTATACTTAATTTATGCACTTTGCTATCCAGTCTACCGACGCTACCACGAAGACTAATAATCTGCAATTTGTAATTCGATTTTGTACCATCGGTAAAAGCGGAAAATTAAGGAAAGTTACTAAATAAATAAGTAAATTTAAAACGAAGGATCGAAATGTATACACGACGTATGTAAGGTACTGCGCGTGCCTCGCAAGAAGTCTCACCAAACAGCAGAGGAGTAAGATAGACATCTATGGTCTTCGTCATATTGTCAATGCGACCAATACAACCACATTGGCCAATAATTCTCCTACAACCATCCTCTCTCTTTCTCTGACCAATTAGACTTACATTCTTACGGTTCTCCTTACGAGGTACCCAAAATACTTCACTCCCGACTCTATCCGCTGTCAAAGAAGAAAATCTCGCTATCCGCCAAAAAATTTCTCACTGACCTTACGGGAAACGACATAAGTATCGTCTGCCTTGAATTGCAACATTTATTCCGTATCTAAGGTACTGCGCGTGCCTCACAAGAAGTCTCACCAAACAGTAGAGGAGCAAGATAGGCATCTATGCTCTTCGTCACACTGTCAATGCGACCAATACAACTATATTGGCCAATAATTCTTCTAAAACCATCCTCTCTCTCTCTCTGACCAATTAGACTTACATTCTTACGGTCCTCCTTACGAGGTACCCAGTGTACCTCACTCCCGAGTCTATCCGCTGTCAAAGAAGAAAATCTCGCTATCCGCCAAAAAATTGCTCAGTGACCTTACGGGAAACGACATAAGTATCGTCTGTCTTGAATTGCAACATTTATTCCGTATATAAGGTACTGCGCGTGCCTCGCAAGAAGTCTTACCAAACAGTAGAGGAGCAAGATAGGCATCTATGCTCTTCGTCACACTGTCAATGCGACCAATACAACTATATTGGCCAATAATTCTTCTAAAACCATCCTCTCTCTCTCTCTGACCAATTAGACTTACATTCTTACGGTCCTCCTTACGAGGTACCCAGTGTACCTCACTCCCGAGTCTATCCGCTGTCAAAGAAGAAAATCTCGCTATCCGCCAAAAAATTGCTCGCTGACCTTACGGGAAATGACATAAGCATCGTCTGTATTGAATTGCAACATTTATTCCGTATGCACCGTGATACATACCCGGCGAGCGATTATCTACATGCTCGCTGGCCGCGGTACATGCTCGCGTGTGCATGCGTTACAATACACGATACACGTTATATATATAATACGATAATGATACACCGATATAACACGATATACGATACATGCGTGTATACATATACGCGTCCGTAGAAGTATACAAATAAATATTTACAACAGATTGAACCAGAGTAGTACGCGTTCGTTAGAGCTGAGAGACCGGGTGCGGGAAGAGGCGACGACGGGGCGACTCATCGTAATTCGCATGGTAGAAGAGAATTCGACGCAGCTCGACTGAGATCACTGACGACGCGCGTCCTATCCTTTACACCTGATTCTGGTCCTCCTTGCTCGGGTGAGCCGCTATCCACTCTAACGCGTTCTTAATCAGCTGCGGAATTTCCGGCGTGGTTGGCAGGTGAGCGCCTTGAGGCTGGAAGCCTTCCTCGTTCGCCACGTAGGTCAACGAGATCTCCTGGCCGTCGTCGCTGCGATAGCTGAAGCTACCCTGGGCGTTCATGGCCTCGTTCTCGGAACCAGCGTTCTCTACGTGGCCCTCTTCTTGCGCCTTGATCCCGTTCCCGGTCTCGTAGTTCCATTTGTACGAGCCGTCCGGGTTTGGGCCCTCTTGGCTCTGACTGACGATCGGTATCACGTCGTCTGCCGGGGCGGCTGCCACGCAGCTTGCCAGCGCGATCACGGCTACCTGAGGCAGATCAGAGGGTCGTTGCGATTTTCTTCCGTTACCTTTCTCCTTCAAAACATTCCATCCCTTCACGGTGTTCACGGCGAGTATATTCGTTTGGAGAAAGTGGAAACTATTAGAGTGACAGTAGGTATGCAAGTTAGCGTTTCTGGGGTAAGGTCTAGTGTACTCTAGTGTCTGTTAGGTGAAAGAGTGGAGGAATTTTTATAGGAATAAAAGAAGCGATTGGATAACAATTTGCTCGTGGTTTTGATATTGATATTGTTATTCTTTCCTGATGAATTTTCGAAGAATTAAAAATAGTTTCATTCCAATTGCATGCCAATGTTATCGAAGCTGACAAATTTGATTCAATTGGGAATGTTCTAAGCTGTGTTCGGGAATTGCAGAATTTGTAGATAAATTAACTTGAAATATTAGTCGTTTTAATATCAGCCATTTTGTTCGCCTTGGACGAATATACTCATCCCTCGGATTCTATTATACAAGTCGATATCTCTAAAATAAAATATCACCGTGAAAGGTTCAATTACGTCAATTATCGTGTCATGGAAACGAAACTTCCTCGACGCGTTACCTTTGACTTACAAAAATGGAATAAAATACGAGTTATATTTGCACGATCCGGAAGACAGGGTCAAAAAGTATCTCAAATATCCAAGCTTATTTTTGCCCCCTATTTCCGGACAAAGCCGAGACTTATGCGGAGCGGAGGTCCTCGAAGTTGCAGTAGGGTGAATGCACCTGTCGAACAGCTATCCGATGCGAAATTTCTTCTACTCGCAACGAGCTTTGAATTCCATACAATTTTAAATACGTGCATTAGAATACACTATCCTGGACTCATATTCGAACCTACCCAGATATTTTTAATTCCATCGCGAATTGGACTCCATATTCCCCGTTCTCCGTGTTTCAACGAGGTTATGGATCATTAGAGCACACGAATCGAATGTTCTTCGCGAATAATTCTCTGTCTGGTGAACGACGCGACTAGCTTTCACGCGAACATTGAACTGGCAGCGGCGCATTTAATTTAAGCGAATTCAAAGTTTGCTGAAATTCTTAACGCGATGTTGGTCATTATAGCTGAGCAGTAAAACAAACACGGCGTGCAATTGCCGCGTAAAGACGTCACGGCAGATGGACCGACGTCGAGTATCCTCGCGTGTGCTCGCGCGCGCGCGTGTATGCACTCGGCCGGTGTTTACGTTATTGCGTTTAAACACCTATAAATTACGTCGCGAAAGATCGATTTCCGCGTAATTACGTGTCTGTGGGGTGCGATTTAAACGCCGTGGAACGGACCGCGTATCAATTCGAGAAATCGATCGCAAGATTGGCCGCAGCTTAATCCGGTCGGCTGGTACCGCGAGTGGCCTGCATTGTCGAAAATGGCGGGAACCGGCCGCAGTAGCGATACCGTTTCGAGTCAGACCGTAGTGGTGGAGTTTATCGAGTCAGACACGGTTGTCGGCGTCGTTCGATCGACGCCCGATACAGGAGAACGTATCAATTTCTTCCGATTCCTAGTCGCCTGGCTGGCAGGATTTTCTCGCGACAGTAACGCCGCCGGCACGAACGGCGAAATTGCCAACTGTTTTACGTAACTACGCCTGAACGAACGTTAATAGAGTCTAGCTGAGAATCTGCAACGAACACGCGACGAAAGAGACGGACTAACACCTGGCAAAGGATGAAATGTCAGGGAAATTAACGTTCGTCTATATGTTCGACACGACGAGCTCTGACGAGCTAATTCAGAGATTCAAGACCGACTCGAGACACGGATGCTTCGATAATCGGCACGCGAGCTCGAATTTCCAAGGAAATCCAGAGTATCCTCTTGCTACCGTGTAACCTCCAGGCTCCTCCGCATTCACCCTACTTACCTCACGACCGTCCGCAGTACTTCCGAATGAAATACGTCCCCGAAACGATCGGATCAGAAGGCACAGGCGTATTCCCGTAACGTGTCACAGTATCCCGGAATACGTAGTAATCACGACGGCACAGAAACGCGTAGGTCTATCGACGGCACACGACGGGTCTCTCGGCACCGACCAGAAGACGTTCAGGGCTCACACCAGAAGACGTTCCAGGCCGGACTTCCGGCCGCGGTTCTCACCCGGACCACCTCTCCCCCCGGCTGCGTTTTTCTCGTCTTCCGACGCTTAATTACGCTTACCAGTGACGTGTACATGCTGCAGCAGTAATCGCTGATGGGCAAGTGTTTATCAAGCCCCGCAGCGCTCGTCGTATATATACCCCTGGAGGCATCACCAATACGATCGTTTGGCTAAGTAACGATAGCCACCGTGCACCTAAGAGGACGCACATGGGACACGACGACACGGCGACAGACAGAGAGGCTAGACCGGGGCAGACAGAGACGGGAGGATAGTGACACAGAGGCAGTGGTACCTTAAGAGGGGTTACACGGATCCTCATTTAACGCGCGCGAGATGTACGCCGGCGTGCATGTGTGGGTACAGTACAGGGACAACAACACACTGTACATCACCCGGAGAGAGATTACCTTCCCGGGGATCAGCATGTCACATTGCGCTAAATGTCATCGGGTCCCCGTTAAAGGATGCTTACTCAATTGTCATAATTTCTTTAACCACGCGCCACTATGGTTGCGGCCGTTTTCGATGCAGGAAGCGATCTGGTAGGCAGAGGGTTGCTTCGGGACGGTGTATCGATTCTTGTCGAGCAGGTTGGGCGCTCGAGCTGGTAACCGAAACGCGTAATGGAAGGTGAGAGGTCGAGGAAGGTGTTGGATGCTGATTTACGTTGATTCTGTCTCCTGTCGTTATGGAATAATCGCGGGGCTGCTGCAACCGGAAGCCGCGTTATGGATCGGATTAGGGATCGATTGCGGAATTGTTGCAAAATATTCGTGTTTGCCGTTCGCGTGCGGAGAGTGAAGATGGATGAGCGAATTTAATAGACTGGAGAAGGTAAACAGTTTGAGGTGTTGAATTAATTCCACCTTTTAGTATTATGTCACGCATAATAATGTAAAATATAAAATTATGTAATAGGAATTTTTGGTGAATTTCGTTTGAAAATTTAGGAAATTTAGTGGGTTCCTGGGGTAAAAATTGTTAACGATAATTATTATAGGTATTTTATCAATTTTATACACTATAGATAATGTCTCCTGAATTTTGAAATTATTTATAGTTATTACTGACAAAAGGTAGGATAGAAAATAATTATTTACGAATTTTTGCATATTCTTTATCTCCTTAAATGCATGTATTACGAAAATAATAATAAACGACAAAGAATATACAAGAATTTGTAAATCATTACTTTTATGAGTAACTATATGTACAATTATAACCTGATAAATACTCCGTACTTCCAAGATTTTTCATATAATTTTAAATATAGTTATACGTAATGTATATGTTTATATACAATTAATTTATAAAAATTCTGTAAAATTATATGTATATATATATCACATATTATTGTCATTATTCATTTATTATATAATTTTAAATATAATTATATGTAATATATATGTTTGCATACAATTAATTTATTATACAATTTTAAATAAAGTTATACGTAATATATATGTTTATATACAATTAATTTATAAAAATTATGTAAAATTATATGCATATATATATCACATATTATTGTCATTATTCATTTATTATATAATTTTGAATATAATGCAATATATATGTTTATACACAATTAATTTATAAAAATTATGTAAAATTATATGCACATATATATCACATATTATTATCATTATCCATTTATTATTATTGCACATGGGTATAATAAATGTAATACAATATACGTGTTTATACGATTGGCATAATTTTATATAATTGATACGTCTTGGGAAAAAATGTTTGTAACGCAGTATCGCAAACATGTAATTCTGCAAACTGCTAAATTATTCGTCAATACCGATTCCAAACATGTATCTCCCAGAGTTTCTCATCATCGACCGATTGACAAGATAATTCGTCCCGTTCTCAAGTCCATCTAAATTTTCCACCGCGTCTGAATTTAATTGCGAATTCCACGACTGCGTTGTCAATACCATCGAAGGTCTCGGAGCATTACGAAAATCGCGAATAATTTCACAATCCTTAAACATCGGACCCGTAACCATAACCGACCATGAAATCCGCGCTCCAGCGATTCGCATTGTCGCTGATCTGTCTCTTAATGCCGCAACGCCGAAATTGGACGCAACACGCGACAATTACGTCCGCGCGTGAATGGTAATAATTATTTACCATACGTAATGGCACGCGTTCTTTTCCTACTCTGTTTAACCAGCGTTTTAACACGACGCGATCCTATCACTCGCGTGTCTCCGATGTTTGCCTTGTATTTCGCTTCCTCGGCATTATTCCGCGCATTTCACTTTCGTCCGTGCCGAGTGAAGGTACTCTTTGCAACACTTTCTGTGTATCTTTCTATTCTATTTTAAACATACCACACACGCGTCATCATTACCTTGGATTAAGTATCGGCGCGCGTCTGGTAATCAATGTTACCTGATTGGAATGTTACGTGTCGATTACAGATAAATATTAATCGGTCGAATATTAATTACGACGTTTCACCGCGCGGCGCGCACCTCGCGGCCGGAGAAAATGGCGGCAGGGAAAAATGGAAATGGAGGTTAATTCAACCGTCGGGACGTGAATTATAATTGACGTGGCATTTACGAACTGCTGTTAATTAACGATATAGTTAGACAACGAGGCGCGAAAGGTCGTAAACCGATCAAATATTTACTCCGACCATTAATTCCCTAGGATCGGCGGAGAGCGGCTGGGGAGGGGGGAAGGACTTGGTGATTTTTCTCCAGGGGAAAAGAAAAATGACTGAATCTCCGATGTCTATAAAAGCGTAAACATCACGGTTTAAAAACTAGCTTATAATACTGTTCGATCGTATTAATCATATCTCCACTTGTAGAAGAGAAGCTTTCATCCGCGTTGCATGATCGCCGGACCCGGCTATGATCGAAGCAAACTAATAAATCATCCGGTTAAATCGTCCAAAGAACGATGAATTATATACCAGAAGACGTTATACCGCTTCTTTTATGGAAAACACAAGGAATAAGCGAAGATGTAATAAATTCTCGTTCTCTCAGGAATGTCAAGTACCCTGTTGGAAACGACAGTCGCGATTGTGCGTGATTCACTAAGGCACGTCATCGATATCTATGAACGATCTTCGGCGAGCCGATGCTTCTGTCTGGTTATACTTTTAACTGCGCGAACCGGCAATTACGGGAAAAAGTAACTTCTGGTCTTCGGGAGCTCGTTGCTCGAGTGGAAACGACTTTGCGTAACTGCCTCTGAGTTTTCGAGTCGTTGCATTGGCAGCGAACTGCTTCTTTCGGACCATGATTTATGGGATAATATAGCTTTGTGAAGGAATCCCGCCTAGTTTTTGTCACAGTTTCGCGAGACTTCGGATTTTTATAATAGACAGAACTGCTCACGTTCGATGGGAGAGTTTAGTCGAGTTTGGGTAAACGAAATAACTAATTTGACTCGCGTTGCGAACCAGGTATTCCGTTTTCTGAGAAATATAATTTAAACAGTCAGCTGTCGCGACCTTTTTTCAAAACGCGCGCCTAATACGTGTCGCGAGAATCAAGCAATGGCGGGTATAGTTGTCAAAAACAGAGTAAACGACACTGTCAAAATATTGGGTCGAAGAGACGACTTTATTACATAAAATGAACAATGTTATTACTAATATTTATTTATTCACTTAACAAGAACTGATACTACGTACATGATAAACGGAAAACTCAGGAAAAATTAAATATTTATAAAAGATAAAGCTTCAAACTGAGACTGTCAAGTGGTATTCACTGAAGTAAGGAACACACAATTTTTTTTTTTATAACAAAGTCTTTTATATTTTTATTTATTATTATTATATTATTAACTAACTATTAACCCTTTTCAATCGAAAAGTAACTCTCAGTCACCATTTAATCAGATTCTAAAGATCGACGTTAATTAATATATCAAATTTAAAATTACCTAACGATGTGTGGAATGTCGAAAAAAAATAATTCTGTCTTAATTTGCATATGATTTTTTATTTACCATTTTAAAAATATCGTCGAGTCTATGACAGAAAGTCTTCAAATTACTATTTTTCTGTAACGAAAAAGTCGTCGAGTGCAAAGGATTAACTATTATTATATATTATTATTATTATTATTTATATTTTTTATTTGTTTGTTTTATTTCGTCTTACTTTCCAAAGATTCTAAATATAATGAGATTTACGAATATATTTTAGTTTTCGCTAAAATTGTAATTTAAATAGCAAATGGTAACTAAATTTTACGCATGACGGATATAATCGTCATGACAGGAAATTTTGCCATTTATCCATGACGGATTTAGTCGTCAAACAAAGCTGACCAGTTAAAAGACAAATTTTAAAAATAATGAGTACAAGAACAAGAAACCGATTACATCTTGTATCTCGAATATAATAAAGGGTTGTTTTGTTTAAATAAAATTGAATACAAATTCAAAGTTTTAGAATGAATTTTTCGATTGTAACTATTATTATACTATTTACGAATATATTTTAGTTTTCGCTAAAATTGCAACTTAAATACCAAATGGTAACTAAATTTTACGTATGACGAATATAATCGTCATGATAGGAAATTTTGCCATTTCTCCATGACAGATATAGTCATCAAAGACAACCGACTGGTTAAAAGACAAACTTCCAAAAATAACGAGTACAAGAACAAGAAATTATTACATCTTGTACCTCGAATATAACAGAGGGTTGTTTCGTTAAAATAAAATTGAATACAAATTCAAAGCTTCCATAGAATGAATTTTTCGATTGTAACTATTATTATATGCCCATTATTCGCGCTTATTTATCCGCAAGCAAGCCTACGGAATCAAAAGCCAAGCAGAACAAATGTACCCATTACCTCACGGGCTATAGAATTTGTACAAAACCCCGAGTCGAAGAATTACCACAATATGGAGCCGCGTACCACTGTAATATTCCCAAAAAAGAAAAAGAAAAGAAAGAGAAGGAAAAAGAGAAGAAACGAGGAAAGCTGTAAATCAACGAACGCCCACGATTCACTAATTGACACGTTAAGATGCAGAACAAATAGCGAACGGTTCAGCAAATGGCGGATAGCGTGGCAAATATAGGGGAAAGTCTGTCGCGATATGTTTGGACTTTTAATTAGCTGGGGTTACGTAATGCGGCCAGGGCATA